CTATAGTAGATGAATATACCTCTCTCAGGACCTAGGAGAGCAAACAGGAAAAAAAATTAGCACAAAAGTTGAACACACCAGTGTGACCTGGCACACACAGAACACTTTTCCCAGTAATGCAGGGTATACATGCTTTTAAGTATGTATGAAACATTTACAGACAGACCATATCATATGTTATTAGATATATCATAAAGCAAATCTCAGTAAGTTGAAAAGAGATGTCGGCCAAAATCATTGTAATGAAAAATGTGGGCTGGGCTTGGTAGCTCAGCCTGTAATCCCAGCACTTCGGGAGACCGAGGCGAGCGGATTGCCTGCGCCTGCGGGTTCGAAACCAGCCTGGGCAACTTAATGAGACTTTGTCTCTACAGTAAATTAAAAATTAGCTAGGCATGGTAGTGTGTGCCTGTAGTTACGGCTATTTGGAAGACTGTTCACCGGCGCCCAGCAGGTTGATGCTGGGGTGGCTGTGAGTGTGCCACTGCACTCCAGCCTGGGCAACAGAATGAGACTCCAACTCAAAAAACAAAAACAAGAAAAATGTGAAAGACTTCCCTTCTAGAAACTGTAAAACATTGCTTAGGAAATAATAGTTTCAAGGAGAGAGACCATGGTCAAGAATTGAAAGACTTAAAATTAAGTTGTCAATTATCCCTAGACCTATCTATTCCTACTTAAAAACCTCTCAAGTTTTAGGGAGGTGGAGGGAATAGACGCAAACCAATATTGAAATATATTTGAAAATGCAAGGGATCTGGATCAACCAGGGGAATTTTAGAAAACAAAATTGGGGTGTTTGTATTACCAGATACTGAGGCTTTGTACAAAGCTGCAGTAATTAAGAGTGTGGTGTTGAAACAAAAATAGGCAAACAGGGTACTAGGCTTTATGGTGTCCAGAAAGAGACTTGTCATTCCATGTGGTCACTTGATTTCTCTACAAAGCTACCACTGCAGATCAGTGGTAGAAAGGATGATCTTTATGATAAATGGCACTCTGTCAGTTGGATATTTAGATGGATAAAAACCTTTACCTAAAACTGTATACAAAATTAGCTCAAGATGGATTATGGAATGAAGTAGGCTGAAACAGTATCCCATCTAGAAGGAAACATAATTATCCTTAGCAAAGGCAAAAATTTTTTGAACAAGATGCAAAAAGCACTAACCAAAAAAAGAAAAGATTGGTTAAATGTAATTAAGATTGTTTTAAATTTAAATTCAAATTCATTAAAATAAAGGACTTCTGTTCATCAAAAGACAGCATTAAGATGAGAAAAAGACAATCCAATTTTAAAGAATGAACAAAAGACTTAATGAAATTGTCCAAAAAACAAAATATCTAAATGGTCTACTAAGCATGTGAAAAGGTACTCAAGAGCCTTAGTCATCAGGAAATGGAAATTAAACTTTCAGTGCATGCCACTTAACACCCAGCAAAATGGCTAAAATTAAAAGAGCTGAAATGCAGTGTTAGTGGGATTATAAGTTGGTATAGCCACTTGGGGAGACTGGTGGTGTCTGCGACTCAGTAAAATAGCCTCCTCTTTGCCCAGCAGTTCTACTCCTGGGTGTTATGTATGCACCCAAGAGAAATGTGCATGGTTGTTCGTGGCATTTTTAACGGTCCCAAAGTGGAAATGACCCAGTAGAGATCAGCGCATTGTCATATGTTCATGCAGTGGAATACAGGTTCATTATTCCTTATCCAAAATGCTTGGGACCAGGAGTAGTCACATTTTGGAATACTTGTATTGTACTTGCTGGTTAAACATCCCTAATCTGAAAGTCTGCATTCTGAAGGACCTCAGTGAGCATTTCCTTTGAGCGTCACATCAGCACTCAGAAAGTTTTGGATTTCAGATGGGGGGTGCTCAACCTGTATTTCAAATGACTGCTAAACATAGCTACATGGATGGATCTCATAGATGTAGTAATGGGCAAAAGAGTGTATACCATTATGTTTCTGTTTATCTAAAATTCAAAAACAGGTCAATGAATCTGTAGTGAAAGCAGTGAGTGGTCACCCTTGGGCATTACTCTGATTGGTTAGGGCACAAGGGAACCTTCGGGGTTATAGGAAGCCTTCTATATTTTGTTCTGCCTGGTGGTTATTTGGGTATATAAGTAGTGAAAAGTCCATTGAGCCATACAAATCCTGTTAGTATACTATATTCATGTAAGACCTTACAATATTTTCTAAACAGTAATAGTATGGTAGATATTTGCTATCATGGGTGTTTGGCTTGAAATTGTCACATGCTGAAATTTTGTTTGCAGGAAGTTTTTGGTGCCAAATGTAGGTGGTGAAGTGGGAAGGCAGGTGGTGGCCTTCACATTGATAGACTTGATTCTGAATCCTCTGCTGCTTTTCATTCTCTCTAGTGTTTGAAAAACCCAGGCATGGTGCTCTTATACAAGTTCTTCTGTCCCTTTCCGATTCCTGGAATATCAAGAGGACTAAGTGAAATGACTGAGAAAGGACTTTGCACCTAATGAAGCGTGCTGATTTGTTGTGTCTTTATCATCAAGTGGGGCACATCTCTCCACATACAGAGTCCCTCTGGGATGGTGTGAGAGCAGTCTCCACTATATATAACAGGTCATCCTGATTTCTTCTTTCAGATGCCTGAGAAATTGGAAGTGCTCTTAGAACTCTGAGAATGCATCAGGGAGCACAGTTTTGGAGTTGGAAGGCAGCTGGGATTGCCCTGAAACAACCACCTCACTCCCTTAAGTCTTTGGCCACTGTATTTCAAAAGATTTGGTGTCTTGTCAAAGACTTACCCTTTGGAAGAGTCTTCAGCTTCTCTGACTGCATTTCATCAACTGGTCAGATGAGATTGATTCGAAATGCATGTTTACTGTAGCATCACCAAAGCAGGGAGGCCACTTCCCGTTTGGTAAGAAGCCGTTGGTGACAGGACTTTCACAAATTCAGGGACACTGATTGAGGGAAAAGAAAGTGCATCCCAGCATCCGTAAAAGAGAAGAGGTTTTGTGTGTGTGTGTGTGTGTGTGTGTCATGTGCTTTTGTTTTGGTAAATTTTTAGTTTCTGTGGATTAGCATGACTTACAAACTGAAGCATTTTATAGGTGTGTGAAAATGTTAGTCAAAGTTTCACATTTACTTACCTAGAATGTCAAAATTAAACACACACGGAGACAAAATATGAGCTAAAATACTCACAACTGTAGCCTGGCACTTTTTTTTTTTTTTTTTTTTTTTTTTTTTGAGTTGGAGTCTCACTCTGTCGCCCAGACTGGAGTGCAGTGGCCACTCCCGGCCACTGCAGCCTCGACCTGCTGGGCTCCGGCGATCTTTCTGCCTCAGCCTTCCAAGTAGCTTGAACTACAGGCACGCACTACCACGCCTGGCTAATTTTTTTTGATTTATTGTAGAGATGAGGTCTCGCCAAGTTGCCCAGGCGGGTCTCGAAACTGCGGGCTCAGGCAATTCACTCACCTCAGCTTCCCAAAGCATGGGATTACAGGCTGAACCACCAAGCCCGGCTTAGCCTGGCACTTTAAATTGACATAGCAGAGTGACCCACGGTAGTCTTTGGACTCACTGAGTGGTGATTGCCATCAAGTTATAACCAGGCTGTGATAATTCAGTATTTTGTATTTCTTGTCCATTGCTGTTATCTCTATCTAATGCACAGGGGCTCCCACGTATTTTTTTTAATGAGTTGATACATTTTCTAAATAATCACTTTTAGCTGTGGATTTGTTATCTGAAAGCAGACAGTGATCTTTTATCAACTTCAAGGTGAAAAGTTTTTTATTTAAACTAAAATTTCCCACATGTAAAACTAAAGCCAAGATTAGGACTTGTTCCTGAATCTAAGCTAGTATTCCAGACACTTAATGGGAGGTACAAAGCTAGATGTCCTTCCTGGCCTTAGAAAAATCCAAATGTGCATCAGAAGTAGGTAGTCAGTATTTGAGAACTAATACTAAATATAGAAGCGGCATTGGTTCCCTAATAAAGGTGGTTCTGCTGGTTATTGTTTTGAATTTCAGGGGTAGTCTTGCAGATGTGTGTTTGCTGAAGCACGTTTGGATATTGTCTTTGTCTCCTCTTTCGTCTCCTCCTCATATGGAATATAATTTTTTCAGTGGGGGCTTGGTTTTTTTTTTAAGCCTGTCTCATTGACCTGACAAAGGAATCAAAGCAATTTTTAGCAAGAAATATGTGGACTGAATTGTAAATGGGTAGTAGTAAGGGGTGTGAAGTCTCTGTTTTTCTTTTTTTGAATGCCTTTTCCATTAAGATTAAATGAGAGTGGGAGTTCGGTGCGGGGTGAGGAGCTCTCCTGCCTGGGGTCCGCTCCACCCGTCGCCTCAAGGGTTCATGGGAAACCATATGACTTCACGGGGTTCATTGCTCATTCATGCAAACGGTGCTTTACTTCATCTAAGTCACCTTTAATATCATGCTGTTGTAAATATAATGATGTATTAAAATTTAATAAATAGCTGGCATCTTTTTTTACAGTTGTTTTGATGGAGATGGAGGTGGAGATGGAGGTGGTGGTTAGGAAAGTTCCTGAGACTATTTATAATATTCCAAGGAAGTGTGTGGCATCAAAGCACTGGCTGGCAATTGCGTTGTAGTCTCCCTTCGTAGCCACTTGTTCTTAGGAATGGTATTCTGGCATCCTCCTAACGCCAGGTGAGACTGCAAGCCGGGCCCTAAGGGACACTGCCCTGAAACCTTTAGATTTGAGCTGTGTTGGGCCTCAGGCTGGCCACTAGAGAGCAAAGTAGTGGCTGGGGCTGCCTTGGCAGCCTCCTAGGAGCCTCTTAGGAGGCCCAGCAGCAGTGGAAGGAGAGGCTGAGGAGCACGTACACCTACCTGTTGGTCGCCGCGGGACCAGGCCACAGTTTGCTGCCGGTGTGACTTCTGCTTCTCACACGGCACGACTGGTTCCAGAGGGTTTTTACCATGTGGCTGAAAGGTAGAGGACTGACTGCTGTGTTTCTGTTTATCAGTACGAGGATGTCGCCCGGGGAAGATCGTGCAGATGACTGAAGCAGAGGTTCGGGGCTTGTGCATCAAGTCTCGGGAGATCTTTCTCAGCCAGCCTATCCTTTTGGAATTGGAAGCACCACTGAAAATCTGTGGTATGTAAATGAGTGAAGTTGGAAACGACTGTTTTGAATCCTGTTTTTCTTTCCATATTTACACAGAGGATGACTTAGAGAAAGAATTTTGTGAAAGTTTTGTATAAGAAATCGATAGGTTTTGTTAAATGAAATTATATAAAAATTGGAACTTTTATACAAATTACAAGTTACAGACAAGAAGAAAATATTTGCTATATATGCAACATATAAAAAGATTGCTGTTTATAATATATAGAGTCCTTAGGAATAAGAGTAAAACAAACACAGGCAGGGCACAGTAGCTCATGCCTGTAATTCCAGCACTTTGGGAGACTGAGGCAGGAGGATTGCTTGAGCCCAGGAGTTCAAGACTTGCCTGGGAAACATAGCAAGACCCCTGTCTCTTAAAAAAATTAAAAATTAGCCAGAAGTGGTGTGTGTCTACAGCCTCAGTTACTCAGGAAACTGGTGGGAGGATCCCTTGAGCCCCTCAGTTTGAGGCTGCAGTGAGCCATGATCCTTCCACTACAGTCCAACCTGGGCAACAGAGTGAGATTCTGACTCTAAAATTTAAAAATAGGAAGAGGCAGAGATTACAAGACACTCAATAATGTAATAGGGAATATAATATAAAATAGAATATAAATACAGCCTTACTAGAAGTAGTCAATGAGATACAATTTAAAACAAACTCCCCAACTTTAATCATGTTCCCAAAATGTCAAAGATTTGTATTTAGTGTTGTCAAAGGTGGTGAGAAATGAATGTTTCAACACATTGGTTAAAAAAAAAAAATGGTGTTGAATTTGTGGAGGGGGTGGTATCAATATGGCAGTATCTGTGGTCTTCTAACTTAGTTGTTACTCTTTAAACTTATTTTGAAGATAATACTTTATTATTTGTATTTGTTCTTTTAAGTCATAGAGTGCCTTTTGGCCAAAAGCAAAAACTTAAGACCTTACCTTGAGTGATCTCATTGTTACAGCCAGAGAAATTGTTGCATACAAAGTAACATTTTTCTGTAGTTTACAAATAACAAGAAGTGATATATAAATAATGTATCATACTAGCTTTGGTTTGATAATGCAAGTATTCTTTGTAGTGGTTGTTAATGTTTATGACATAGCTTTTGTGAACTTACCATCAGCTTTTGCTGAAAAGGGTGGTTTGCTATATGCAGTAATTCTCTGTCTCCTGCATGTTTGTTAGTGACTTCTATACCATGTGACTTGTAGGTGATCAGTGTGCTCTTCAGATAGTTTTTATTCTCCCTTCTTGTGGTTTATTAAATCACCTGCTTGGTGCCCCTTTGCACAGTGCCCAACAAATGAGAGATGTTAACTAAGTAAATATTTGTTGAATTGATCAGTTAATTCGCATTAGAGTGTCATGCCTTTAGGAGGTACAAGTAGTTTGAAATTTGGGGAATATGATTGATTCTCTTTTGAACTTACACGAGGTAAGTATAGTTACTTATAGCTGATCTTAACTTGATTTGAAGTATTCCTATGGGTACTTTCTAAAATGTTGTGATACAGAAATAATAACTTGAAGGCAATAGAAGTTATATATACTGCATATTTCTATTTTTTTATTATTTGTCTCACTATTTGACATACAAAAGTGATCCAAGGGAAACTACCAAATAATAGAGCACCTGTTTTAGTTCTCTGTGGTTGTATAACAAGTTGCCCCCAAGCTTTGTGACTTACAATAACATTCATTGCCATCTCACAGTTTCTGTGGATCAGGGATGTGGGCACAGCTTAGTGGGCCTTCCAGTGCTGGGTCTTTCACAAACTGTAGTCAAGGTGTGACTGGGGTCTGTGGTCATCAAAGGGCTTGAGGGCTTGACCGTGAGGGACGTCAGTTCCTTATTGGCTGGTGGCCTCCCTCAGCTCTTGGCTGATGACCTTCTCCGTAGGACAGCTGGCGCGGAGAGGTGAGAGTGCAAAAGCTCAAACTTGGGGCCTGACCTGGAAGAGGCAGCCTGTCTCACTTCTGCCATCTCTTGCTTATTAGAAGCAAGTCACTAAGTACAGCCGCACCTGAGCGGCGGGGTTGACACAGGTGCGGGTATTGGAAATCATTTTATAGATGCTACTGACAACAGTAGCCAATTTTCCTAAAACTGGCTTTTTCTATTTTTAGGAGATATTCATGGACAGTATACAGATTTACTGAGATTATTTGAATATGGAGGTTTCCCACCAGAAGCCAACTATCTCTTCTTAGGAGATTATGTGGACAGAGGAAAGCAGTCTTTGGAAACCATTTGCTTGCTATTGGCTTACAAAATCAAATATCCAGAGAACTTCTTTCTCTTAAGAGGGAACCATGAGTGTGCTAGCATCAATCGCATTTATGGATTCTATGATGAATGTAAGTATGAAAACAAAAACTTAGAAAGTAATTCATGGGAACATTCCCTAATAATTTTCTGTTTCAAAAGAACTCCTTTGATTCAGAGTCCTTTCAGAACATGATGCATCAGGCATAGGCCTGAACTGGAAATGTATTGCTGATTTGGTTGGTTCCTCGGGGTCTCCGTAGTATCGTTGTTCCAGGTTTATGGCAGCATACTCAGCTGAAGAGGCTCTTCAAGGTAGCTTACCTAGAAAGCCTCCCACTGAGGCAAGTCACTGGAGACAGTAGCATCTGATCTTCTAGTGTCCATGGAGTTTTCTACTTGGCATTATTGAGATAGGACAGAGCTCTTCTGAGCCCTGTGTCACAAGAATTACTGAGAAGTTCTATAAACTATTTAAAAGTCAAAGCTTATTATTAGGGATTTAAGCTATGTCTACAAACCCACAGAGACAGATACCAAATACCCTGTACTCTGGGGTATCCTGACTTTATTGTTCTTTCTCATTAGTAGCAAATACTAACTTGCTGTTGTGTAGTAGTGTTTCCAAGTGTTACTACTAAATTGCCCTTCTGCATTTGAATTGGGTCTTTTGGTTTTGTTAGATGCAGTATGGGAGTGAGCATATATTTGAGTCATTAAAATTTAGAATCAATTATAATGGTTTTCAAACTGAATTCTCTCTTTTTTTTTTTTTTACTGCTGTATTCCCCATTAAATGTGGTAGAGTCCTATTCAAACTAGTGTCTCGTTGATTCATTGAATAATATGACAAATGTTGGAGGGGTGTGTGTGTGTGCTGATCCGTGTTCTAAACACTGATTGAAGCAGAACACAGTGCAGGCGGTCTCTGTTCTCAGTGAGCTGACATTCTAATGGTAGTTAGTCTGTATTAGATTTTATATTACATTTTTATTTCTGAGATCCAATGTGTGGTGTCAGTTGTTTAAATCAGAACAGTGGAGAGGGAATGGATTGAAGTATATCAAACTAACACCCTTCCTAAAGCTACATTGGAAAAGAGGTGTGTTCTTAAGGGATGAAAGATGGGCACGAATATGCTTGAGGCTGGAAGTGACATTAGATGAAGCCCTGTATGGGAGAGCAGCTTGGAGACAGTACTGTGAGCTGTACGAGTTCATTAGGAGGAAGGCTGTGGTGTGGAAGCACAGGAGGCTGGCACTTGAATCTTTCTTCTCCTCCCTGGCTTAGTCATTGCACCTTATTGCCAAATGCAGGAAAGACGAACGTGAACTTGAGGTTGTCTTTGTTGTAGTTTTTGATGCTAGGCTACAGGAAAATTATAGCCTTTGTGTCTCTATTTATACTTATTATAGTGCCAAATTGTAATTCACACAAAAGTGAACACCAGTTAAGCACTTGGGAATTTTCCTTTCTTGGCAATAAGTTTCTACTGTGTTACTCAGAGCATTGAAGCTAAAATGGATGGTCTCCAGGGCACCCTTTTGCTTCTGCTTACTTATTTGGCTAGGTATTTAGCAGTGCGCATGTCACAGGGCAGAAGTGAACTAACAACCTCTTGGACTTCTTCAGAATTGCTGTGTTACAGTAATTGTGGAAAACAACATTTGCTCAGCGTATTTGTTTCATAAAACACCTAGCACAGTATTGGGAATGTTTGTAACTGGACTGAAGGTTCTGGGTGTTTATTGTATTTGTTACCTTGTTAAAAGTAATAAATAATAAAAAGTAATAAGAGTAAAGTTGAAATTACTCATAATCCTGGACTTTGAGATAACTGAGAACAGTTTTAGATTTTTAAAATTTTTCTGCTTGTTCTTTTTATAGGCAAACGAAGGTTTAATATTAAATTGTGGAAGACCTTCACTGATTGTTTTAACTGTCTGCCGATAGCTGCCATTGTAGATGAGAAGATCTTCTGCTGTCACGGAGGTAGGCTAGTGCATCTGCCTTACAGATTTGCCTCATTCTTTTCAGAAAGCACCTGTTATGAGTCAGAGGCTACAGGAGAACAAAGCAGTGCTTGTATGAAAACTCACATGATGAAAATTGTTCTCAACATGGCTCAGACCTCTTTTAATAAGTGTGATTATTTATAAATGAAAATGTAACATTTGTCTTCAAAGAGTTCACCTATAAAGAGGGTAACTCATCATTTTAGTTATTACTTCATAAAAACATAAAAGGTTTTTCCTGCTGGGCTCAGTGGGTCATCCCTGTAATTCCAGCACTTTGAGAGGATGCAGCAAGAGCCTGAGCCCATGAGTTTGAGACCAGGCTGGCAAGACCTTGTCTTTACGAAAATAAAGATAATAATAATAAGCTGAGCATGGTGGCACGCACCTGTAGTGTCAGCTACTCGAGAGGCTGAGGTGAAAGTGTCACTAGGAGTTTGAGGTTGTGGTGAGTCATGATCCTGCCACTGCAGTCCAGCCTGAGTGACAGAGTGAAAACCAACCCAAAGAAAAAGTGAAGTCTTTCCTGGGCCTCAAGTTTTGACAGAAAGATACATCTACTCCTAGTAAAAATGAGATAATTTATTATCTTCTGCTTATGCTGAATACTTTTCATCAGAATCCAAATAGAGCTGAACTTAATATTCATATATATCAAGAGCCCTAGGCTTCATACAATATGTCTACTTCAGTCCTAAAAATAAATTTTTAGTAGAATGGTAAGTTAATCTCTATGGCTTTGAAATAAGGTTGATCAGTAAAAGTTCATTTCAGAAGGAAACATGTCTAGCGCCTGTCTAGAGCTGTGAAAATATGTAGATAGTACATGATCTGGTCATCCTGAAGAATTTAAAACCTATTGATAAAATGCATTTATGAAACAGAGTGATTGAGTAATGAAAGAAATTGAATGTGTCAGTACTTCCAGAGACAGTAATTCGGAAAAATCAGGAAAAGGAAGTATGATGAGTGGACTGTGGAGAAGTGACAGGGACTTGAGACAGGCTCTGGGTACTGTCTTGTTTAGGGAATATGCGAGAACTGACCTGACTGGGAAGTCAAGCATATGTTGGGGAGCAGTGGGGTCCGATGAGAGAGGCTTGACTGTTGAGCAGAGGAGTTTGTTGAATGATGTGACAGCCATAGTGAGTGTTTGAATAGGGAAGTCATTTAATGCAAGCAGTGTGAGAAAGTTAGCTTTTCATCAGTATCTGAGAGGAATTCAAATGGAAAAGCACTGAAGATGGATGTGCTTGCCCAAACCCAAGGTGATGCACGGTCTCTTCTCTGGCAGAATGTAATCCATGGTAGCAGCTGAAGCCTGCTTTGTAGGAGACATCCTATGGAAGGCTTGTCCTCACATGAGCATGGCTGAGGGTAGACTCGGTAGCGTGGGTGTGGACACTCAGCTCCTCCTGGGGTGATGTGTGCATTGCCCACCAGAGAGCAGTAGTATGTGGGTGTGGACCACTTTCAAGATTGTACAGTATTTCTGTGTGCTTTTTCTTGTTTAGCCTTCAGATCAGTAGTTCATGCCTTCATGAAGATTATGGACATGGTGGAGTAGGATGTGCGAAGGAGTCTTAGGGGGCAAGTGAGGCATTTTGCCTTGGAAGTTAAGGTGTTAAAGAGGAGTGATACGACGTGGCAAATGTGGTAGGAAGGGTTGCAGTGATGTTCGCATAGGGGCAGGGAGTGTGGTTGGAACTAAGGAATGCTGGATTTGGTTTCCTTGGGAAATCTTGAAATATAAGAGAATTTCATTTCCCTGTAGGGAAAAATGGAGACAGCACCATAATCATAATGTTCTATCATATCATAGTAGGATTTATAGTAACTCAATACATTAAGGTAACATGAAAAGGAATGCTTGAAGCACTCTTACTTTCACGCCGTGAATCTACTTTGATTAAATCCTTTTTTATTGCGTGACTGTTGAGTTTTTTAGCTATCAAGACTGTGTCTCATCTTTTTATTTCTAGGATTGTCACCCGACCTGCAGTCGATGGAGCAGATTCGTAGAATCATGCGGCCCACTGACGTCCCTGACACAGGTGAGTCTTCAAGAAGTGGAGTCAACTGTGCTGTGTCTTGTTGACGTATTTGAATCTAATGATATTTACTGGAAGTGGGGTTGGCTTATGTAATAAACAGTAGACCTCTTTTTTGTAGACAATAAGCTACAGTTTGTGTGCAGTAATAGAAAATATTTCACTTTGTGCTAATTATTCCCAAAATGCAGACCTTTACATTGTTTTCTTTTTTAAAAAATGGGCACAGAACCAATGCAAGACACTTATTTATAACTATAATGTGATTTTGTCACACTTGTTTGAGCACAAAAAAGGTCTTGCTGTTGATTACTCATACCTTTTTACTTTTGTTAATTCCCTCACTTATACTCATTGAACATGGCAGGCATTGGTTATGCTTTTCAAAAACTTGTTTAATGAGTCAAAAGTTATTTAGTTAAAATAATCTATCTTTCCTTTTCAGGCAAGGATACAGTTGCTTTTTTTAAACTGTCTAGTATTTCTGTTATTTTCTGTCTCATTTATATTTCAAATTTTGGGGGCTTTGGTGGGGTGGGGAGGATCTCACTGTGCTTCCCAGGCTGGCCTTGAACTCCTGGACTCAGGCAGTCTTCCCACCTCAGCCTCCTGAGTAGCTGGGACTACAGGTACACATTGCACCTGGTTTAGGTTTTTAGAGGTCTTAAGACTTTAGAGACCTGTGGTCATTTTTAGGAAAATGGTGGAAAATGTATGGGAAATGACTTCAGACATTAAGAACAACTTTTAAGTTGCTAAGTAGGTCAAAACAAAAGCTGGTAAGTTGCAGTTGAGGACAAAGTACTGTGTAGTTGCTACCTACCTTAGCTTTTCTGTTGACTTTAAAGTGCTTTATACTCCTGTTTGAGCACCACTATGTACTAAGGTGTCTGCTCGTAGCATTCATGTCATGAAATGCCAGGGAGACCTGTTGCATGGAAGGCAGCTAAATTGCTCAGCTCCCTCAGTTCAGCTTTTGCTTAAAACATTAGTATCTCTCTCTAGTGTTTTCAAATATCAAATGCATGTTATTTTTCCACTTCAGCTAACTCCCAAAGTTAGCACAGTCTTTACAGTTTAAGGGCTTCAGCCACAGATGGGGTCCCCAGGTGACCCCACTTCTGTCCAACTGACTATGCAAGCAGGCTTTGACATTTACTGGTTTGTCTTAAAGGACACAGCTCAGGACTGACTGGGTGGGAGAGCTGCATGGGGAGGGGCCAAAGCCCCATGCTCTCGGGGCTACTGTCTCCCCAGCCCTTCTGTGTGCTCACCAACCAGATGACCTGTTGCTCAAGAGTTTTTAAATAGACCTGGATTTCCCAAAGTGGGTGGGGGACTGAAATCCGACCCTCTGCTCGCATATTGGGTTTTGCTGGTGACTCTTTGGGTCCTGAAGCCGCTAGGCACCTCATTACGAGGGTTTCCTGTGGTGGCTCCTTAGGAATGAGGGGACATGCTGTTCTCCCCGAGGTGGCGAGGGTTTTAGGAGCCCAGTGCCAAGACAGAATGAGTCAAAGACCTGTCTGTCTGTGTCATATCCCACTGTCAGCCTATTAAAAACATTAGCATAAGCCAAACTGCCCTGTTCCTGTTTCTGCCAAAGACTTTTTTAAAAAACAAACTACCTTCTTGGATTAGTTGTCCCATTGTTATTCGTGTCACCATATCCCCCCTTTATTTATGGTGTTCATCAGCTCTCAGACTTCAGTGTGTTCACAGTGGGGATTGTCGGAGTGACACAGGGTCTAGAAATCCTGTTATAAATTAGGGACATGCTGTATGTAAAAAAAACAAAAGCCCTTTAGCTTACTGCAAGAATGATTGTTACTTAGTAGTTTTGCAAAGAAGAAACAATTATTTATCAGAAGTACAGGCTGGATTGTCGCTGAGTTCATTTCCTACTCTTCCAGTTCAAAGATTCTGCAGACAGATAAGCATTTAAAAACATTCATGGACCAGTGCCTGAGCAAAATATGGGTAAATGTCTAAGTTGAACTCTTGAACATGCTTTTGGTCACTTATTTTCAAGTGTTACTGGATTGCTTGCTTAGTGTATTGAAAACCTGATGACACCATTCTAAGCACTGCTCATGACTGCATGTCAGCTGTTATAAACAGCTGTACAGGCCCTCTGATGATGTGGTCATCTCAAAACACTGCGGGTTGTAATAAGTCACCTTATAAGCTTGTTTGTGTAAGTAATACAACTTAATTTGTGCTGATTTAAAAAGGATACATTTTATCCATTTTTATTGTAATTATGAAATCTATTTGGATAAACCTAACAGAAACCAGTATATAAATGAAATGGTTTTATAAATAAAATGATTTTTATTTTAAAAATAAGATACAACATAAATGTTTATTTCTAGCCATTCTTCAGAACTTTTGTAGTTCAGATATACATTTCAAGGCATGCTAGGTTTCTATTTTCAGCTTTTTTTTTTTTTTTGAGTTGGAGTCTCACTCTGTCGCCCAGACTGGAGTGCAGTGGCCGCTCCTGGCCACCGCAGCCTCGACCTGCTGAGCTCCAGCGATCCTTCCGCCTCAGCCTTCCGAGTAGCCGGAATTACAGGCATGCACTACCATGCCCGGCTAATGTTTTTTAAATTTTATTGTAGAGATGAGGTCTCACCTTCCCAGGCAGGTCACAAACCTGCGGGCTTGGGCAATCCACTCACCTCAGCCTCCCAAAGGCATGGGATTACAGGATGAGCCACCGAGCCCGGCTATTTCAGCATATTTTAATGGGAAGTTTCAGAGATGCTGAAATTGGTTATTTTGATCTTTGATAGTCTCTGCCACCTTCAGAAATTTAATTTATAAATTAACACATTCTTTGAAAGAGTTAGCCTCATTGATTGTGATGTTTGTTCTTTAAGCATTTGAATCTTGACTCTGAAATTCTTGATCCTGTTATGGTTAAGTAATTCCAGATTGTTGTTGCTACATTATTTAGCTTTTTATGCATCCATACAGTCACATTTTCCAACTCTTAAAGACATTATATTCTAATTTGTAATTTTATTGTCAAACTGAAATTATAGATTCTCAATACTTGTCTTTCTGCTCACTACTTCATCTCGAAATAGACTGGAAAGTATGAGCATTAGAAGGCCCTGGGTGGGTGTGTATTTTTTAGAGTCAGCTTCAACTAGAAAGGTTATGAATTGAGACTATCTGTGAATTTTGTGTGGTGAGTTTTGTTAAACGTGATAACAGAGGTTAGGCACTACCAATGATAGAAATTAAGAGTACATTGCCACTAATTCTACAAAGAATTTTAGATACTTCCCCTATCAAAAAAGCAGATATTCTTTCCTGTTAGACTATGTTATGAAGTTTATGAATTCTCTTTTTCAAAACCTTAAAACTGTAAAATAAAAATTCTCTTGGCCACCGTAATTCTGAGGTGGTTACTTTGTATTGCTGCAGTTGGACTTTGCCTACTGCTTTCCCTTAGTCTGAGAGACCACTTTTATTAAGGTCCTATCTAATTGTAAGTCTTTGTCCTCCACTTGTTCTCGGCTCTTGAAATGTCACCTTTTCATACTTCTAGACAGTTCTCTTCCCTTTCAGGATACCTATACTCTGCTAATCGCTTCCTTTTGCTTTGATGATTCCTCTCTGTTTCTTGCTCAGCCCCCTCCTCTGCCTGCCTTGTAAATGTCTGAATTCCTCAGAACTTGTTTACAGGTCTTCTTACTTAGTATTCCCAAGGTGATCTGAGTCCTTTTTAAGATTTTCACTGCCATTAATATGTTGAAGATACCCAGATAAATATTTTTAGCCCTGACCTCTTTTCCTAGGGCCAGAACATTACTAAAGTCAGGGATCTGATTTTGTGCCTCCACTTTTTTTTTTTAAATCCTTGGGGCCTCAGATCACTTTCTTTCCTCAAAATGATCTGTAGATCAAAATACAATTCCAGTGGAAATCACAATTGAGTTTTTCCTAGAATGAGATAGGCTGTTTCTGAAGCTTATGTGAGAGGTCAGAGATTCAAAAGTAATCGCGACAATCTTGATGAGAAGAATTAAGCGGGGATACTAGCCCTACCTGATGTGTTACTGGCTCAGGAGTAAACAAAATAGGCTAATGGAATAGACTCTGGTGCTCAGAAACAGCCAGTGGAGCTGGGAAAGGACAGGCTGTGTGGGAGGTGCTGAGGGCAGGCTGTCTTGCACCTGGAGAAACTGCGCATAGAGTGAGCCACACCCTCCATGCTTTGGCTCCTGTGGGAACGGTTGGGGCGTGCTGCCTCCTGGGGCCCCGCGAGGTGTGTGCGGTGGCTTCAGCCGGCGAGGTGGGGAGGCCAGGATTCATGGGCAGGGATTATGTTACCATTGTTCATGAAGGGCAAGGGTGGGAGTGGGACTGAAACGAGACCCAGATGAGCTTTATTCTCTAGGTGGGATGTGGCTTATTTTCACTGGTGTGTTTCTGTCCTCTAAAGGTTTGCTCTGTGATTTGCTGTGGTCTGACCCAGATAAGGATGTGCAAGGCTGGGGGGAGAACGACCGTGGCGTTTCCTTCACTTTTGGAGCTGATGTCGTCAGTAAATTTCTGAACCGCCATGACTTAGACTTGATCTGTCGAGCTCACCAGGTATGGAATACAAGACTGAGACACACGCATGTGTGCTGGCTTCACGTAAGCTCTCACATTCTGTTTTGAAGAAACTGAGGTCCCAGATGTCTAAGTGACTTGTACACAGGAAGCACAGGAGAGGCGAAGCCAGTCCCACATCTCAGTGAACAACCTGGTAACTGGGAGGCTTTTCTCACCCTGGGCAAGGGAGTGTTTCTAGCACATACTGCAGCCCTCCGGAGCTTTCTAGATATGGCCCAGGTCTCCTGTGGTCTTAATGTGTTATAGATAACAATGGGTGCCTTGTGTGGGTACTACTTGGATTTTGATAAGAACAAGGTTCACTGTAGAAAGGTGTTTTTTGGACAGCTGGGGAACGTGTAGCCTTGGCAACAGATACTGATGCTCTTAGCTGTGTCCGGATCGTTAGTTAGGTGGGAAGAGTGCCCATGTTTTTCCAGAAATGCAGGCTTGCATGTAGGGGTGGGATGGCAGCCTGGACTTGGCTTTAAAATATGCCAGCAGAGAGGGAGTAGGTAGGAGCCTGTTGATGTCTTCTTTATCTACCTTTGTGTGTATTTTTAATTCTTCATTATAAGTCCAGTTTAGGGTTTGGGGTTGTTTTTTATGTCTTCCACCACTAGAATGTGCACTTTCTTAGGAGGGGATTGTGACTCATTTATTTTTGAATCACTGTTGCTTTGTACAGTTGAAATAGCATAGCATCTTATAGCATGCACTTAGTGCTTGTTGAATGAATAAAAGCGTACTTTAACAAGTATATGTCCTGCCCTGCATTCTGGGGCCTTACTTCTCGTGATGCTTCACCCCTCCTGCCTCTGTGAGTGGCCCTAAATGATGGAGATGCCTGACTTTTCATTCTTTGCGTGTTATGTGTCATGTGCCTTTTGTTAGTAGGATTTCCTAGTTCGGCTGAAATGAAGGCATGGTCCCACGGTTTTTACTTTTGGCAAATTTTTTTTCAATGAGTAGTAAACATTGTGCTTATGGTTTTGATAATTAAGCCTTCTGTTAGATAACAGGGCAGAATTGCTGAGTTTCCTAATGAAAATACCCACTGATACCAGGTTTTTTCAGCCATAGTTCTTCATTTGCTTGTCTTTTCAAAAATAAATGATGATTTTCAAAAGTCAGCTTGCTGAACTGCTTTAGGTTGCATGGTCTTTTCCAGAAACCTCCAAAATCCTATTTTGCTTATCTTCAAACATGTTATCTCTAAATTTTTTAAAAATTATTTGTAAGAATGAACAAGTGAGCAAACTAAGAAGTTAGCCTAAGGACTAAAAAACATGTGAGTGCCAAGCAGTCTGCTGAGCTGTGGGGCTAGGTAAGCTGGCCACAGTCTTAATAGAAAAGATTAATATCTCAACTGTACCATGAAGCAGTTTCAACACAGCATGCTTCTAGTTCTTAGATAGGAGTCATTTTAACAAGTAAATGCTATTTTTTGAATTAACAACGGTCGTGGGCTAATTTTGCTTTTCAAAAACTCATATGCCTGCTATAAATAAATGTAAAATGTGTTACTGCCTGCCTCATATTTGTTGAACTGGGAGACATACATTGTTTCAATCACTCAGGAATCGACAACAGGTTCTAGAAATCATCACATCATCAAGGGAAATGATCATACATATAAAAATTCAGTCTATAGGCAACTTGTTTAAAGGGCATAGTCTGTGTAGGTTAAACTCAATTCAGTGGCACACTCAGTGCACAGCTCTCAGATTCTGAGAGGTGTTTAGCATGGAGCATGGAGAAGTTCTTTGCAGAGCCTGTCTGGTGTAGCTCGTTTAATTAAGGGTTTTTTCTTCTTAGAAAGCAGGATTTATTGAGAGGACAGAAAAGCTCTCACAATGGGAGGGGACCCGAGGGTGTTGCCTAAGGGATTTTTCCTATAGTTGGATCCTGATGCCGTCATCAGGAAAGTACTTGGTATCCCTCTCAAAAAATGTAGGTTAATTAAAATAAAATTTTAATTTTAAAAAATTAGGAATACTTGGTGTCCCAGCTTCTTGTAGTCACTTTGCCTTTTAGCATGTTTTTTGTCTCAAATGGTTATGATATTTAACTTTAGTAATAATTTTTTAATTCCATTTAAGCTAAATCTTTGCCATTATAGAAAAGATATACCAATTTTAATGTTCTAAGCAAAGTTTAAGAACAAATATTACCACTTCTAGGCCAGGTGTGGTGGCTCATGCCTATAATCCCAGCACTTTGGGATGCCAAGACTGGAAGATTGCTTGAGCCCAGGAGTTGAAGACCAGCCTGGGCAACACAACCAGAACTCATCTCTACAAAAAATTTAAAAAATTAACCAGGTGTGATTGTGCTCCTGTACTTAGGAGACTGAAGTGGGAGGATCACACGAACCCAGGAGATTAAGGCTGTGGTGAGCTGTGATCATGCCACTGTACTCCAGCCTGGGCAACAGAGTGAGACTCTGACTAAAAAATAATAATAAACAGTACAACTTCCAAAATAAAACTGAGTTTGTTTGTTTTTAGATCTTTGCCACATTGACCTTAGTATGATGGTTAAGAATCACCTACCAATAAATATTTTTTCTGACATTTCTTTTGTTAGGTGGTGGAAGATGGTTATGAATTTTTTGCTAAAAGACAGTTGGTGACCCTATTTTCAGCCCCAAATTACTGTGGCGAGTTTGATAATGCTGGAGGAATGATGAGTGTGGATGAAACTTTGATGTGTTCATTTCAGGTATGACGTTAATATCATATATAAAAACTAGATATCTAATTAAAACTGTTGTCAGGAGAATTTTTCTTTTACATTTGTGATCTTTCCTTGAGCAAGTGTTGAAAATCAGTTTAATTCAGAATTGACTACCACTCAGACTCATTTTGGTACATATCAAATATGACAGTTTTAGGGAACCTAAGTTATGTCTGTCATTCTTGATTCAGATGTGTAACTGGGTAGTGGCTTGCTTACTAAAGAATGTGAATGTAGTGAAAAATTAAGGGTTTTGTTCTCTCTCCAATACCTGCTCCACTGATTCACTTTTGCAAGGTGAATCGGTGGAGCAGGTATTGGAGAGAGAGAATTGTAAACTCAAAAATAAAGTAGAATATTTACCTAAGGCAGACATTTTCAAAATAGTATTAAAGTACCTATTTACAATATAAAAACACTTGCATTTTAGAAAGAGGCCAGTCTTAGCTTTAGTGTGCTGCTTGCAAGTCAGTTGCTTGCTGAGTAAAATAGCTTCGATTCCTTGTTTCTTGCAGTTTATTCTGTATGTTTGAAGAGCACACACAGTTTCTCTTTTTAAGTATGCTGGAGCTTTCCCATCTCTTTCTTCACATTTTTGTAAGATCATGTAATTTTCTATTAATACTGTAGGTTAAAGCTCTTTTCCTTGAGCTTTACCCAACAGAATGAACGTAATAAGGTCAGCCAGGTATGGTGGCTCAGAAGTTTAGGAGCCGAGGTAGGATGATCACTTGAGGCTAGGAGCACACACCAGCCTGGGCATATAGCAAGAGCTCATCTCTACAGAAAAAGTAAATAAGATTAACCAGGTGTGGTGCCATATGCCTGTAGACCCATCTACTCAGGAGGCTGAGGTGGGAGGATTGCTTAAGGCCAGGAGTTTGAGGCTGTAGTGGGCTATGATCGTGTCACTGTACTCCCTGCCTGTGTGGCAGAGCAACCTTGTCTCTTTTATTTAAAAAAAAAAAAAAAGTTGGCCAGTAACAAGTATTAGTAAGGCTATAGAAACATTAACATCTTCATACACTGATGATGGGAATATAAAAATGGTGTGGCCACTTTGGAAAACGGTTTGACCATTCATCAAAAGGGTATCATGGAATTCTCATATGATGCAGCAATTTCATTTCTCAGCACATATCCAAGAGGAATGAAAACGTATGACCACACACAAACTTGTATGTGAATGTTCATAGCAGCATTACTCCTAATAGTTAAAAGTAGACACAGTTCAAATGTCCCATCAACTCATGAATGGAGAAGTGAGACGTGGCACATCCATACTGTGGAATACTGTTCATCAGGAAGACGGAATGAAGTGCTGATACCTCAGAACTGGCTTTGCAAACATAAGTGAAAGAAAGTAGCCCCAAAAGACCACTGTGGTATACGATGCCAATTAGAGAACTGTCCAGAACAGACAAATGTGGGGGACAGGAGTGGGTTTGTGGCTGGCTTTGGCTGGGCGAGTGGTGGGGAGGTGGGAGCAGGGAGGCGAGAGGCTACTTGCAGGGAGATTTCTTTTTGGGTGACGAAAATGTTATAAAATTAGCTCATGACAGTTGTATAACCCCAGCCCCCAATGACCATAGGCCTGTACCCCAACCCTCTGACAACCACCAGCCTGTACCCAACCCCCCAACAACTGCCAGCCTGTACCCTAACCCCCTAACAACTGCCAGATGAATCGCCCTGTTATAAATTAGTATGCCAGAATTCTGATGAGAACCTAGATCTTTTGACTTAAAAATAGGATTCTTTTCCAGAGATACACTCATTTGAAAAAAAGTTTACTTAGGTCTAAGAATTGAATAGTTGATAGGGTTATGTTACACAACCTTTTGTTATTAAACTACGAATGGAATGATAGTATGAGTTCAGAAATTTGCACACTTAAATGTAAGAAATGTTTGTGGAACTTTGCTGTTTGTTTACACTTTTATTGCTCTTTTACAATTTATGCCAATTATTGAAAGAATCACTATTGTGAAAATGTCTTAAACTTAATTGCACTTGAAGGGATAACATTGTTAATAAATTATTTACTTTAAGATATTGAAACCGTCTGAAAAGAAAGCTAAGTACCAGTATGGTGGACTGAATTCCGGACGTCCTGTCACTCCACCTCGAACAGCTAATCCACCGAAGAAAAGGTGAAGACAGGAATTCGATAAAGAAACCATCAGATTTGTTAAGGACATACTTCATAACATATAAGTGTGCACTGTAAAATCATCCAGCCATTTGCCACCCTTTATGATGTCACACCTTTGACTTAAGGAGACGGGTAAAGGATCTTAACTTTTTTCTAGTGGAAAGATGTGCTCCACTGTGTGTAACAAGTGTACTCCGCTACAATAGTCAACAGGGTTACATCCAAATTCCAAATTGCCCCTGCGAGCTACATCTTCACAATCAGTTTTTAAAATTGAGAAGCATCCCAGTTAAACTAGATGTGATAGTCACCAGATGAAAGCATGAAGACCCATCTGTGTAATGTGGTTTTAGTGTTGCTTGTTGTTTAGTTATTTGGGGCTTGTTTTGTTTGTTTGTTTGTTTTGCTAGAGTAATGGCAAATATTTTAATTTTTTTTTCCCTTGAACGTTTTTAAAAAGTGAAGCATGGGAAGAGCTTTAAAGACATTCACCAAACTCTGACTTTCCCTTGCTTACCCACTTATGGTCCTGTGTGATCTTACTACGGAAACTCTTACTCCTTGTTACAATAAATGGAAGCTTGGAGATTGATTTTTAAAGCACGCAAGCTGTCCAATCCAATGACTTTAACCATCCAGTTTGACTGGGCAAACCTGATAGTGACTATTTTGCTTGATACAGAAATGGACACTGATTTGGACTTGTGCACTCTGGTTTCTAACTTATTGACGCTCTATCGTGCAGTGCGTTTCACTTAACTTTAAGATAAGGCTCATATAGTGTCATCCAACTAGTTGGTGATGTGATTCTGTGGTACCTTGGCTTTAGGTTTTAATTCGCACGAAACACCTTTTGGCATGCTTAACTTTCCAGTAACACCCTCACCTGCATTGGTTTTGTTTTTTGGGGTTTTTGTTGTTGTTTTGTTTTTAGATCCACAGTACCTTGGAATCCTTTTTTGACAAGCCTTGGAAAGCTGACACTATCTCTTTTTTTCCTCCCTTTATGCAAAGGATGTATTTAAATGAATGCTGGTCAGTGGGACATTTTGTCATCTATGGGTATTGGGTGCTTAACTGTCTAATATTGCCATGTGAATGTTGTATACGATTGTAAGGCTTATGTCACTAAAGATTTTTATTCTGATTTTTCATAATCAAAGGTCATATACTGTATAGAGATGCTTTGTAGTGAACTATAGTAGCAATAATTTCTGTACACGATCTAGAGTTTATTGCAGCCTTTTTGTTCCTGTTCTCTCTCTTTTTTAAGGGTAGTACTAACAATGGCAAGGAGTAGAAAAGTCAACAGAAGGGTTTTAGGAGGACTTGCAGGCACGGCTTTGTGATTCTTTGGATGTGACACTGTTGGATGTGATTCTAAAGCTTTGACTGAGCATTGTCGCATTTGTGAGCTTCCTAGGGATGGATGTCGTGTGTACAGTGCCCCTCTGTGTGTGCTGCCATGGGTGTGAGACTCCCGACCCTCATGTTGTGTCTGAAAGTGTTCACCTGAGAATTCTGTTAACTTACATCTTATGAATTGGCGCGTTGTATTACTGCAAGAGGTATTTGATTTTTCAGCACAGTGCAAAAGTTCTTTAAAATGCATTTGTCTTTTTTTCTAATTCCATTTTGTTTTAAAGCACATTTTAAATGTAGTTTTCTCATTTAGTAAAAGTTGTCTAATTGATATGAAGCCTGACTGATTATTTCTTTTTCTCTTTCCAGTGAGACATTTAAACACACATCCATTCAGATAAATATTATGTCCCTGGCATAAAATGAATTAACTCTTTTCTGGAAGTGTCCGTGAACTGCATGTGATGTATTTGGTTAGGTCACACAAGTTTTTATCGAAAGTGGTTTAAATAACTTCCTGATTGGAGTATAAATTGAGCAGTTTCTGATGCATTTCAGATGTCCCTTTTTAGAAGTCATCATAAAACAGGTCCAGAAGAGATTAAGCCTCTGGAAGGGAAAGGCAGTTCTGACCAGTCTCAGTGCTGATTCAGCCACATTCTCCTGACTTTTTAAATTTATGCAGGTCAAGATTAAATACAATTAATCACCACATAGGCTAATTAACATGGACCATTAAATTGACAGTATAGAAATTGATTATGTCTAAAAATTACTCAAGCGCTCTTCAAACCTCTTCACCAGCATCTGTTCATCTACAGATAATGTGTTCTTTACAAATATTATTTGCTGGACAACATTATTACTTAAACAAATAAAAGTCTGTTTCCTAGGAGAAAGTTGTCCTGTAATTCCAGTGTCATGAATTTATGGTTACTCTTCCCTGTTTTTCAGTTTAGTGATTTTCTATGTACAATTTAATCCAAATGTTATGATATCCAAAAGTCATTAAACACACTACACACCTGTTATATATCACATGGATTGGAAAGCAAAGTTATATATAGTTTATGTTCTTGAAAGGATTGACAACAGTGGGTCATTTGCATTTGAAACTTCAACATCCATGACTCTAATTTTCCCTAGGGATGAGCTTTAAACATCATCAAGACCGGTTTCGGCAATGTGGAGCCGTCAGGTCTCAGAGCCTTGCCAGCTACTTGCCATGTCCCCACGTTGTACATTCCTGAAGTTGTTTTTTTAAAACTGAAAAACGCCAGCAAGAAGAATGCTAAAGCTTGAAATAGAGGGGTAATTTGAAGTATGAGTGTGCTCAGGGGAAACATCTGCTTTTCAAAGAAATATTTTATCCCAGGCAAAGCAAGGAACATCTTGAGATGTGTCTCTTAAGAATATGAAGATGAGCCGGGCTTGGTGACTCAGCCTGTAATCCCACGCCTTTGGGAGGCTGAGGTGAGTGGATCGCCTGAGCCCGCGGGTTCGAGACCCGCCTGGGCAGCAAGACCTCATCTCTACAATAAATCAAAAAATCAGCCGGGCATGGTAGCGCATGCCTGTAATTCTGGCTACTTTGAAGGCTGAGGCGGAAGGATCGCCGGAGCCCAGCAGGTCGACAGTCTGGGTGACAGAGTGACACTCCAACCCAAAAAAAAAAAAAAAAAAAAAGGATATGAAGATGTATTATTATATTGAGCCAAGGAAATATGTCACAGTTTATAAATTCAGGCTATTCCTTTGTCTCCATGGCAGCCATAACTTTCAAACCAAAGGAAAATTTTTTTTTTTTACATTTTTATGCTAAAAGTATGTCTAGAGGACGGTGGCCAGCCAGAGTTGCCTGAGTCAGAGCTGCACTCAGGGACACACAGCAGAGGCCTGGTGCACTCATGCCTCGCTCAGTAGGTTATTCCTTTTGCTAGCAGAGCTCAGTATTTTGTAATTTCCTAAAACAGCTAAAAGGCGGTTAGAAGAATTGTGAAGGGACAGTGGACCTTGCAGAATAAACGGTTAGTTGAGGGGTGAACTGGCTTGGTGTAAGTGTCTAGGCACCTGGAGTGCTGCCCGCCTTCATTCTTCTTTACTATGTTTCTCCAATAAAGTGAGATTTAGATACAGTGTAACAGTGCTAATCTGTTGGCACTGGCTTTTACCTGTGCGTTTGAATGCCAGGAAATGTAAAAGTCAGGGTTTGTTTCCTTCAGCCACCGCCTTCTGTGTTGGTTGGCTTTGAGACTGTGGGCTTTTAAATTTCTCATTGTCAGTTACTTTCTCATTCAGGTTGCTAGTGTTTTATTAAACCTCATTTTTAAAAAAATGACCATAAATCTTTGCTTCTTTCCTCTTAGGGATCTTTGCCAGCTAATGTGATTATAAAGTGTTAACTTGTAACACATGTTGTCTGGGGTATCTATAGGGTGGAAGCCAGTGAAGGGGCCATGGGTGGAGAGAAAAAGCATATGTGCAAACAGACTGCCTGAGGCTCAGGGGTTCAGCGTTCCTTCCAGATACAAGATGGTAACCTCAGGTCTCTTCCTGGAGGCTTTCAATCAGGCCTGGCCTGGGATCACCAAGTAAAATGTGTATTAATTTTTACAGCTGCCTAATCTGAGTCAGTCGATAGGTTTACAGACCAAAAATTTTCCTCAGAAGCAATGACATCACAGCTAAACATCTAGAAGCTTCACAGATTATTATGCCAATTTTTTTTTTTTTTTTTTTGAGTTAGAGTCTTACTCCGTTGCCCAGGCTGGAGTGCAGTGGCACGCTCCCAGCCACCACAGCCTCGACCTGCTGGGCTCTGGTGATCCTTCCACCTCAGCCTTCCAAGTAACTGGAACTACAGGTACGCACTACCAAGCCTGGCTAATTTTTGATATATTGTAGAGACCAGGTCTCGCCGAATTGCCCTGACTTGGCTTGAACCTCTGAGCTCAGGCAGTCCACTCGCCTCAGTCTCCTGAAGTACTGGGATTACAGGCTGAGCCACTGAGCCCAACCATGCCAACTTATTAAAAGGCACGCTAATTTATGGTCTGTCATAGCTTTACTGTTGGCAGAGTCATGAAGACAAAACCTGTAGTACAACAGGAAAAAAGCAGTCCAGAGGCATCTCAAGGTAGCAGGTTTGATTTGAACCAGCTCTTAAGTGAATCTTAATCTTCCTAGTATATTTGGGGTGGAAAGAAGCTGAGGAAACAAAACTGAGCCTTGACGGTTTACATGAGGCTTTCTTCATACGTGAACGTCGTGGTGAGGCCCTCTCTGATGTGTCTCTCCCCAGCCACTGGCATGCCCGAGCGCACAGCTGCTCTGCTGCTCACCGGCAGGCTGGATGGGCTGCCGTCTCCCATCTTCCCTTGGGTAGACACGAGCTTTCTCTCTAGCTGTTAGTTTAGGAAGGATCCTGAGAAGGCAAGCATGAGGGGTGGTATCACTCGATAAAGTTTACATCTGGTAGAACTCATGGAAGACTCAGTTTACCAATTTAATCTACAGTGCCTCAGAACACTTCGTGTGAGGTCCAAGGTCCAGCTTTGAGTGCGTGTAACTGTTACTGACTTGAAGAAAAAGTTATAGAAGCATGACCCTGGAGCGCTGCCTCAGGTTTTTAGCCTGGCTTTACTGTGACTGGTAACTCCACTGAAATTAACTTGGCCAGGCATCAGTGAGCTAGGTGAAAGTCTTCCTGTTGCAGTGCTGCACAGCCTGTTTTGAGTGGAAGTCCCTCATAGTTTGGCCAATTCGCTGGACTCCCTGGGCAGGTCACTGACAGGTCAGGGCGAGCTGCAGTCCATTCCACATCAGTTATTTCTTAGATCACTTATGACATCTGGTGTTTCCTCAAAACAGTCATGCTTGTAAAAGCCTAAGGTCTAGATCAGTCTCACATCAGCTAGGCAGGGCTGTTTTTCCTCTTACTCACTGGTGACTAGACACGGTAGGCGTACAGATGTTGAATGAATGGCAAGTGAGTTTCAGGAATGACTGCTTGGATCGCTACTTGGACACCTTGGCCACAACCAGTACATTTCCAGCTACTACTCATCCTCACATAGCTGCTTTTTCTCTGACTAAGCAAATTGGTTTGAGTCTATATGGCCAAAATAAATGGGTCGTTGTCAGAACTCTACTGGGTAAAATTCTGGCAAGTATGAGCTGTCGAAGTGTTGAGTGACTTGAAGGGAATTTTTGCAGCTGGCACCCGACAGGCCTGCTAGGGAAGCTGCTCAGAACTAGACACCTCAAGACACCCGTAGTGACCTCCTTCCCCCTGTAGTCTTGATCTGCTCTGTGAACCTTACCGTCGCCTTGTAGTGAGCCCTTTCACGTGTGTTTAGGAGAGTGGTATCTGTGTCACATTTTGTCTTTCAGAATTCACCCAGTAAGGATGAGCACCGGAAACCAGGAACCAGCCTTGAACGTGGAGAGGCTACTGCCGCATTTGACAAATAAGCCTCCCAGACCCCAGCTTGGGCCCAGTGCTAAGTTACAAGGAATGTGATTGGCCAGCTCGCATCAAAGCCCCCTAGGACTCCCAGCAAGGGAGGAGGGGAAGGGATGTTCTAGGGACAAAGCTGCTATGCCTTGCACCCAAGTGGTTTGGGAGGTGGGGTAGGACATTCACTAGAAAAGGGGTGCTGAGGGTCATTGTCTTGCTAGACTCTGGCCTGGCCATGTGCTCTTAGACTGTTGCCATGTTTCCTGGCTTTGGCCCCCTTCCCCACCTTGGGAGGTGAAACTTCTCTTTAGTTTAAGTATATTTTCTAATCTTAAAAAAGGACAACCCCCCTCGGGTCTCCTCCCACTGTGGGAGCTTTTCTGGTCCTCTTAACAAATCCTGCTTGCTTTAAAAAAAAAAAAAAGGCCGGGTTTGGGGGCTCAGTTTGTAATTCCAGCACTTTG